AATTTGCTACTGATATATACAAATGCAATTAATCTCTTAACTAGCAATTTTACTATATAATTATAAATTGTTTAAATTTTTATTCAGGTTCTTTGTATTTTCTCATTGCCCAGGTAATCAGCTGCACATTATGGTTTTATTCCATCTATTTTATTTTATTTATGGTTTTATTTCATTTTATTTATCTTTTTTGTACCTCCCCACATCCTTCTACCTCCTTCCAGCTTGCTACAATCATTAGGACCCTCTGCATATTTATAATAGATGCTATGATAGGAAGCAGATGGCTCTGTATTGTGGCCTACAAGGTCCTTCACCATCTGGATTCCATTACTCCTCTGACCTCTGTCCTGTGTCTTTCTCATTAACTGCCTCTCTGCTGCTTGCCTCTTTGCTGCCTACGGAACATACCAGGCATACTCCTATCACAGGGTCTACAGTTGTTACTCTGCCAGCTAGAATGCCAGAATTCATGCCAGGCTCCTTTTCTACAAGAGCTTCCCTAGATGCCCTCTCTTTTTTTTCTTTCTTTATTGTTGGTGTTTTGACAGAGGGTCTCTGTTTAGCCCAGGTTTACTTCATAATCCTACCTTTAGCTTCCTGGATGATGGGATTACAGGTGATGGAATTACACCATCACTTCTGACTGCTGCTTTCTTCTTTGTCTTCTTGTTCCTCCTCTTTCTTCTCTTCTTTATTGTAGGAAAAGTCAATATATCATATAATTTGCTGTCTATAATTTAGTAATTTTTACTAGATTTGACAAATCACACAACTGTCATCATTGGTAAGTTTTAGAATACTTCATCACTTTAGTAATATCCTTGTGCCCACCCACTCACTATTAATCTTTCTTATTAATCCTTTCCCCAGACAGCTACTAATCTGCTATCTGCCTTTATATCCATACCTACTTTTGTCATTAGTAGAATCATATAGTAAGTATTTAGTATCTTTTTAATATTTTTTATTGTAAAAATAATGTACAGAGGGGGTACAGTTACATGAGTAAGGTAATGAGTACATTTCCTATCAAGCATTGTTACCTCCTCCTTTGTTTTTCCCCTACCATCCCTTCCCTCCCCACCTCCCCACTTCTCCAGCACCTCCTTCCCTCCCTCCCACAAGTTGTAAAGTTCATTTTCAACATAGTGTCTTTTACATCTCATGGTTAAAATGGGTCAACCCATATCCCTATTTAAGCAGTTTGTTTTTTCCCTTCCCCTCCCCAAATTAGAAAAATGTGTATACAAGATGCAGTGCACCCGAATCAAATACAGTGAAAACAGGGTTGATACCATGGGGAAAGAACATACAAAGGAAACAGAAAAATCACATAGTACCTCATAAGTACGTTAAAAACAATAGCAAGAAAAAAAATTACTTATGTCCCTGTCTTGGAGTTCATTTCACTTAACATCATCTTATATTAAGTGAAGTAAGCCAGGCCCAAAGAAACATAGGTCCCATGGTTTCCCTTATTTGCAATAACTAGTATATGTCTAGGACAAGCAGAAAAGGTCAAAAGCTTTGTACATATGACCAGATAAGTATTTAGTATCTTGTACCTGACTTCTTTTAGAAAGCAGAGGTTCATCAGTGTTCCTTCAGGACTCAGTACTTCATCTCTACTAATTTCAGTCCTTCATTTATGGCTGAATGACCTAATGGATATATCATAATATAGTTATCCATTTATCAGTTAATAGATATTTACTTATATAGTTATCAGTCAATAAATAGTTACTGAGTTAACAAATACTTGGGTTCAGTATTAAGAAATATTTTGTGACTTAATATTTATGGAATACTACTATTTCTAAGCTCTTCAGTGACCAGTTGAAATCTTCCAGTTACTGCTAGTAGCTGCTGAGTTTTATGCTCTTAGTGCCCTACTGTGTTCTTAGTGCTGTAATCACTCTGGCACAGTATGGCATCGTGCAGTATTAAAAAGAAAGACCTAGGGGCTGGGAAGGTGGCTCAGTGGTACAGTGCTCACCTTGCATACATGAGTCCCTGGGCTCAGTTCCTCAGCACCACATAAACAAAAAAAGCGAGAAGTGGCACTGTGGTTCAAGTGGTAGAGCGCTTACCTTGAGCTGAAGAGCTGAGGGACAGCCCTCAGGCTCAGAATTCAAGACCTAGGACCAACAAAAAGAAAAAAGAAAAATCTAGAAAAAGATCTTGTCAGAAAGTACAAGACCCCAACAGCTTTCTTCCTTCAAATGTTAGCCCTTAACTGAAATCTTTTGAGGAGCATTTTTCTTATGTGTGTATCTTATAATTAAAGAAAAAAGAAAATCTTTTAATGGAGCCAGTATTTGAAATAGGAATGACAGGTTTTGTTTTTTGTCAGTCGTAGGGCTTGAACTCTGGGCTTGGGCGCTGTCCCTGCGCTCTTCGGCTCAAGGCAAACGCTCTACTGCTTGAGGCTCTACTGCTTGAGCCATAGCCCCACTTCCGGTTTTCTAGTGGTTTATTGGAGATAGAATCTCATAGACTTCCCTGCCCGGGCTGGTTTTGAACTGTGATCCTTAGATCTCAGCCTCCTGAGTAGCTAGGATTACAGGTATGAGCCACCGGTGCCAGCTTGACAGGTTTTTATTAACTATTAAAATGTAATAAATTATTAGATTTGCTACACTGGGTATATTGTAATTTCTAAAGGTAAATCGAGTTCTAAACACTTTGAAAACTCATTAACTTACCAATGAGACTATGTACCAATAAGCTTATTACTTAGCAGTGTTCTGTACAAAAGACAGAGCAGGGACATACTTGACAATGTCAAGATATGTTTGGTTGTCAAAACTAAGGGATGGGGCAAGGCATAGTAGGACACATTTATAATTCCAGTTACTTAAGAGACAGAGATTCCTAGTTATTCAGGAGGCTGAGATCTGAGGATCATGATTCAAAGCCAATCTGGACAAGAATAGGTTCTTAGTGACAATTATCTCCAATAAACCATTGAGAAAAAGCCAGAAGTGATGCTGTGGCTCAAATGGTGGAAAAAACAAAAAAAAAACAAAGATTGGAGGATTGAGGTCCATAGATGGCCTCTGGGCAAAAATAATGAGACCTTATCCACAAAGTAAAGGGATTGGGGGATGGCTCAAGTGGTTGAGTATCTGCCTAGCAAGCACAAGGTGTACAGTCCAAAACTCCAGCACCCTGCAAAGTTCTTTAAAAAAATTAGGGATGGTGTTGTTAGTATCTATTAGATTCTATTGACATTTAGCCAGGAATTCTTTTAAACATTTTTTTTATTGTGAAAATACTGTACAGAGGGGTTACAATTACGTGGGCAAGATAGTGAGTACATTTCTTATAAAGCATTGTAGCCTCCTCCTTTGTTTACCCTTCCCATCCCTTCCCAGCCTCCCCCTCACCCCCCCACCCAATCCTCCCCCCCACCCCACCAAAGTTGTAAAGTTCGTTTTCGACATGACAACTTGTACTTCTCATTGCTGCAACGGGTCCACCTGTATCCTTATTTAAACGACTTGTTTTTCCCCTTCCCCTCAACAGATTATACCGACATCAAATACAGTGAAAGCAGGGGTTATACTGTGGGGGAGGGACATACAAAGCAACAAAGAAATAATCTTATAAATGCGTTAGAAACAAATGCATGAAAGAAAAAAAACATTTAAATACATATCTTAGGGTTCATTTTCCTAACATCACCTTATCTGACCTTTTCTGCTCGACTCATACATATACTAGATATTGCAAATAAGGGAAACCATGGGACACATGTTTCTTTGGGCTTGGCTTACAATACCTCAACAATAAATTACCCAGTTGAAATTGTCCATTATATCAAGGTTGAGAAGTAACTCAGTTTTTTGGTTTTTTGTTTTTGTTACTGTTTTTTGTCGGTTGTGGGGCCTGAGCTCTGGGCCTGTGTGCTGTCCCTCAACTCTTCAGATCAAGGCTGTCGCTCTACCACTTGAGCCACAGCACCACTTCCTGCTTTTTCTGCTTATGTGGTGCTGAGGAATCGAACCCAGGGCCTCATGCATGCAAGGCAAGCACTTTACCACTGAGCCACCTTCTCAGCCCCGTAACTCAGTTTAAAGAAATCTCTAATGTTTGCATTCTTAATAGAATATATATATATTCATATACTCTGCACTTTTACATATCCATAAATAAACCATTTATTTTGTCTTAATTTTTGTCTCCTGCTATATAAAACAAAAAATTTGACTTTACCTCATTATCCTGTGAAATGTCCTTGCTGTATAAACAATACCATTTTTATATCTATTTGATTGCTTATTTCAACTTTTTATTTTATAATATAGCTTATTATAACCTTCAATTTTCTAGATTTGCTTTTTCTTATGTGCTAAAGGTATAATCACTTTCCTAGAGTATTTTTTCCCTTTACCATTTGTAATTTTCTATTTTTAAGTTACATTGCTTTTTGTAAAGTACATGTCGCTTTGCTCCTTTTAAGACTTCTTTGACTCTCTTAACTACAGTTATATTCAGTATTCCAAAACAGTAACTATTTTCCTATTTTAGAACCTTAAATATTTTATTTTGCTTGTTTTTAATTGTTTGTTTTTAGTTGTTTGGAGACAGGGTCTTGCTATATAGCCTGCTGACCTGGAACTTGTGCTCTGCCTGCCTCCGCCTCTAAAGTGCCAGGATTAGAGGTGGTGCTACCACGCCCAACCTTTATATATATATATTTTTTTTTTTCCTCAATAAACCACCACTAAGCTTTAAATTCCTTCCTTCTTTGATGCTCAGTTTCATTTTGTCTGCATTTGAATTCTCTCTATTAAACAAAAAATTGAACTTGAATATTGACGGAAAGTATTTAAAGACAAACGCCACTGGAATTTTATTTTTATATATTTTTATTTTACAGTGAGTGCTCTGAAATAAAATTAAGAATTTGTTTCTGTTATTTCTGGCTAACATTTCTTCTTTCATATTTTCTGTTTTTCTCATTTTTCAACTGTTCACAATTTTTGGTGCAGATAAACACTGAGGAACATGTGGATGCAACTGATAAGGAGGTTATCTTATGGGATCATAAGATTCCTGAGGATATCCTGAAGGAAATAACTACTCCTAAAGAGGTACCAGCTGAGAGTGTTACTGTCTGGATTGATCCACTTGATGCTACACAGGAATATACAGGTAATATACACTATATGCATGTATATATTTTTATATATATATATGAGACAAGTATACTAGTAATATGCACTATATATACACTATATATAGTGCATATTACTAGTATACTTTATATAATGTATCTAGGGAGAGTGATTTGGCTAAACTGAGATTTTTTTCCAATTAGATTTTAAGACAGGAAAGCTAGGTTGGTCAGGAGTCAGTGGCTCATGCCTGTAAACCTAGCTATTCAGGAGGCTGAGATCTGAGGATCCTGGTTCAAAGCCAGCCTGGGCAGGAAATTCCGTGAGACTCTTATCTCCAGTAAGCCACTCAGAAACCTGAAAGTGGCACTGTGGCTCAAGAGGTAGATCACTCACCTTGAGCTGAAGAGTTCAAGCCCCATGACTAACAGCAACAACAACAAAAAACAACTATTGGACCTAGATTGAGATTTGAGCCTTGTTTTGTTTGCCCCAAAATATAGTGACAGTAGCTCAGAATCAGTAAAGGAACATCGTTTTTTTTTTTTTTTTGTCTGTCATGGGGTTTAAACTCAGGGCCTGGGCGCTATCACTGAGTTATTTTGCTCAAAGCTAGGCTCTACCACTTTAAGCCTATATACATGTATGTGTTTGTATATATATATATATGTATATGTGTGTAAATTATCCATATAATATATGAAATTATAATATTTTACATGAATAGCTAATAGGAATAAGTTTTTTTACAAGAAGTTTTTTTTAAACTGAACTTGATTGATCACATAACATTTAGTGAGTGCATCTCTACATGATGAATGTTGTACCTGCCTAACTTGATTTTTAAATTAAATCATAAAATTAAAAGTTATTTTGATGTATAAACATGAGTAATGTGTTTTATTGTCTGTATTGTGTATGTAGATGAAAAAACTGAATTTAAGTAATTTGACCAAAAATATATAACTAATAAAACTGTGGGTTAAGGATGTAACCCAAATGATCTCTTTTTAGTCCCTGTATCTGGCTCTCATCCCTGGACTCTGTTTGCTTTTGGAAGATTGTTATCTTTGAAAAGTATTTCTTATGTATGAATTTATAATAAAGTGTCATATATCTTGAATTTATGTGCAGTACTTAGATAATTTTGTGTATGTGTTTTTTCACAGAGGATCTTCGAAAGTATGTCACCACTATGGTGTGCGTGGCTGTAAATGGTAAACCTGTTCTAGGAGTTATTCATAAGCCATTTTCTGAGTATACAGGTATGACACGTATGAAAGTTTTCAAGAGTTAATGTTACTGAACTGTTGACTGTAGTATTTGCCATCATGTTAGAATCTCACCTATAGCTAACTCAGCAATTATTGAAGATGGTCCCCTACTTTTTCATACCACTTCATTGGATACAGTGAATATTTTATAGTTGGTACTGATAATACATGACAAAATATGGCTTCCTAAACAATTTTTATTCCCAAGGATGTCTGGGCCCATCAGTGAGAGTTATTTTGGGCATAAGAGTGTATGGAAGATCGGAAGATCATGCATTTGAGCTCTTGTACACAGACAATATTCTGCTATCACTATAGACATATACTAGCTATTAGTTAGCCAGAGAGGCTAGCTGTGGTCTTCCAGGCAGCAGTAATAGTATGGACTGGTTGCAAGTTGAACATGACCACACTGGTTCTCAATAGAAGAGTGGTATTGGCCTCAGTGTCGTTGCAGACATCCTAAAGGGAATTGTCATACATTCAGTTAGTAACTCTCATCAGTAACACAGGGCAAAGGTTATGGATCTTTGGCTCTATTCTTACCTGAGATAACAAGATTCTTATGGTAACAGTTGCGCTGTACCAAGAGCCCTAGTGGCAAATTATACTGGATTACATAAAGTCTTTAAATTTATGTCCACTTTATAGTAGCCTAGGGCTACTGTAATGAAAAACCATAAACTGTATCTTGAAGAATAGCATTGTAGTTCTTACAGTACTAAAGGATAGAAGTCCAAAGTCAAGGTGTTGGCAGAGACATTGCCTGTAAAGCACTGTACTTTCATGTTTTTCTCTTAGTGTCTGGTAGTTTGCCAGAAATCCATAGAATTCTTGCCTTATAAATACATAACTCCAACCTGTGTTTCCTTTATCGTGTAGCCCTCTTTGTGTATGTCTGTGTTTCTTCTCTCCTAATAATTAAACCAGTCCTGTTGGACTAAGGGAATATAAGTCAGTGTGGCCTCATCTAACTTGTTATGTCTCAGCAATTCTATGTCCAGGTAATTACAGATTCTGAGGTGCTAGAGGTTAGAACTCCATTATACTATCAGGGGAACCAATTCAGCCCATAATAACGTACAAACTTTGGTGTCATGAGATTATATTTAAGAGTAGGACTTTAACATCTGTTTTCACTGTATTTGATGTTGGTATAATTTGTGGAAGGGAAGGGAAAAAACAAATTGTTTAAATAGGGATACAGGTGGACTCAATGCAACAATGAGGTGTACAAGACGTTATATCGAAAAACGAACTTTACAACTTTGCACGGTGAGAGGTGGGGGGGAGGACAAAGGAGGAGGCCACAACAATGCTTGATAAGAAATATACTCATTACCTTGCTCATGTAATTGCAACCCCTCTGTATACGGTATTTTCACAATAAATAAAAAAAATTAAGAAAAAAAGAGTAGGACTTTAAACCAATGATAGTGTCTATATAAGTAATAGAATGTATACACACATTGGTTAACATCGTATGAAGTTAGAGACAGACACCAGAGTAAAGCCTTGAAGAAGCTGAGGATTGTCTGCTACCAAAAGGAAGAGAGGAAAGGGTATGGAACAGATTTACCCTCAGAGCCTCTAGGAATTAGGAACTAACCCTATTCATTAACATCTTGGTTTTAGATTTTTAGATAAACTTCTTTTGTTGTAAGCTGCTGAGTTTATGGTAACATATTATAGTAGTCCTAGAGAACTAATTCATTGGACATCTTATACTGCTGTCCCAAGAGTATGTAACTGATTATATTGGAGTTATTTATTCACTTTGCCAAATGACCAGGATTCCAAATTTTAGCTGCACTGAGACAGGCTAACATGTATTTGAGTGTTGGCTCTGTATTTCAGAATCATACTTACTTTGTCATATCTGTATCTCTTTTCATAATTTAGATAGTTCTCAGAGATATCAGCTATTAAAGGTTTGTGGCATTAGTGTTCTGATATTCCTTAAGATACTAATTTTACATATTACCTGTAATGCTCATTGAATTTGTTAGGAAACAATTTAAGCTGTTAATTTAGGCTGAAGTGATATATGTAAAAATGTATAGAAGTTGAACAAAATAGTTTTATTTTTCTCTTCTCTGGACAGGTAGTTTTATTTCTCTCTTCTCTGAACACTGGCCGGTCCTTCCTGCTGCTTTTGCTCCCTGTGTTAGCAAGATTCTCTGAGTGTGCGTGTGTGCGTGTGTGTGTGTGTGTGTGTGTGTGTTTGTGTGTGTGTGTGTAGCATATTTAAAGCAGGTCTTTCCTCCTATTTGGTCCCCTACAATTCACTGGAAATACTCTCACAGAAACATTCAGAAGTGTGTCTGCTGATTCCCTAGGTATCTTGTAGTTTAGTCAAGTGGACAACCAACAATCACCTATCACATTCTCCTGACACTTGTTGCCATCCTTAGTGTGTTTGAAAGTGGCTCACCACCTCATCCGTACACACCAGTGGAGAGGGTAAAAATGGAAGTAATTTTCCACAAAAGGTTTGACCTATATGTTGTACACTTGACTTCTCATATCCAATCACATTGCTCATGTCCTGCTGGTAAGACATAGGTAAGAGTTTTGTTACAAGGAAAGCTAAGTAAGAAATGCAGTCTTAGTGGCTACCCAAGTGTATCTGTCATTCAAGGACAATGAAGAAATGGCTATTAAGTACAACTTACACTGTGTACTTAGTATTCTCACAGATGAGGAAATAGACTCAAATTTAATACATTCCATCAGAGCATTCAGTTACATTAATGACAGAGGCAATGCCAGGAATTTTATGCAAATCAGTAATAGATCATTACTTACATATTTGTTTTGACTATATAAGCCTTAACAATTGTTTAATAACAATTTGTAATTAATGTTATTTTATTTGAACTTTTTGATAAGTACGTGATAAAGGGAGACTTCATTTATTATGTTACAGATAAGAAAATAGGTTTAACCTTTTATGAAAACCATGTAGATCAAAATATTTCTAGAAGAACTAACACTTGGTTAGTAGCAATTACTTAGGCTGCAGCAACTGCTGCTGCTGCTTCCTCCTCCTTCTCTTCCTTCTCGTTCTCCTTCTTTGTCCTCTTTGCCTTCTCTTCCTCCTTCTCTTCCTCTTCTTTCTTCTTATTGGCCAGTCCTGGAGCTTTAACTCAGGACCTGGCTATTGTTGCTGGGTTTTTTTTTGTTCATGGCTAGTGCTTTCCCACTTGAGGAACAGCTCCACTTCTGGCTTTTTTTTTTTTTTTTTTTTGATAGTTTCTTGGAGGTAAGAGTTTCACAGGCTTTCCTGTCCAGCCTGGCTGCAATTCTCAAATCTCAGCCTCCTGAGTAGCTACAATTATAGGTGTGAGCTCCTGGTGCCAAGCTATTTATTATTTTTACAGTTTATAAAAGTATATTGAAAAACATTTTTATAGTCTCAAAATAACTGGAAGGGATATAAAATGGAGGTTTTCATGACTCTTAAAAACAAACAAGTTTATATTTGTTAAGCACAGAATTTGAGTCTTTGAAACCATTCTTTTGATACTAACCCATGTCAGATGGCATTGCACATAAATCTGATTACAGTGCTTCAATAAATAAGGGAGTTTTCTCACCTAACAGGGGGACCAAAACCACAGATAAGAAATAACTCCTCTCGTTGCTTTTTTTTTTTTCTGCAGTAGGTTTTTTTGTTATTTGTATACTACAAGGTAAGTCTTAGCCCTTTCCTGGTTCTTTTCCTCAAGAAGGGGAAACAAAAGGAACAAATCCTAGATAATGTTTGTGTTAGAGAAAGATAACATTAAACTCTATTCATTAAATCTCTGGTCTGTTTCATTGACTGAATGTCAGATATTACCCTTAGCTAGAAACAGAGCTGATTTCACAAAGAAAATTGGAACCTTAATAAAGGAAACAAGGAAGAAAATGATACTAGATAAGCAAATAGATTTACATTTTGGGTTTTGGTTTCCCTATCTATTTTAGGAGAAAGAATAGAGATAAGTGGCCATTTTCAAAACCTTCATTGCATAGGCTTCATTTGCCAAAAGCTTACCCCAAATAAGCCAAAAGTCTAACAAGAAGAGATTGTTTTTAAGTGTCTTTATGAACTAGCAATAGAATGCCACATTCTTGTATGATACAGCTTACAAGTCCAGTGTGCTGAAGCATAATAGTGCATGCCAGTCATCAGGTTTGCTGAAAGAATCCAACCTATGACCTCCCATTCCTGGAGGAAGGTTTACTCTGTGGCTTTTGTTGGGAATGTTACTGTGTATTGATCTTGGCAGGGTAGTGATACTGAATGAAGTATTCAGTATTTATCATATTTAGCTATTCTTGGCTATAATGAGAACTACAGATTGCTGGCAACAGTTATAATAGAGTTGATTAAAATTCTTACCACATAGTCTGGAGTATAGCTTATTGCTTAAGCACTTACCTAGTGTTCATGGGACTCTGGGCTTCATCTGCAGCACCACAAAAATATTCTTATCACCTGATTATAATTCCTTGAGTTTGAAATCCCTAGAAACAAGAAATACTTGAATAGTATTTTAGAGAAGTAATATGTAAATACTTAAGTAATTGTACATTCACTCAGTGGAAATATGTAGCTATTAAAAATAAATTACATTGTCAGAAGTCTGTGTATGAAAATACCAACCATTTTTTATTTCTTGCTATGCTTTTTTTAAGCATATCTTGCTCGTAAATGCATTCTAAAAACAAAACAGAACAATGCATTCTAACCTTTCCAGTTACCTACTAGTAGTCATTTATGTTTACGCACCTATTATTCTTTAAAAAAAAACGTGTTCCAATAAGGGACACCCTTATATAGGTTTTTTTAAAATAGGATTTAACATTTATATAGGATTTAACATCACTGAATTCGAAAATTTTTACCTAAATTCTTATCTCTAGTGTCAACAGATATGCTGTTTTTATCCATTTACACAATGCTGACCTCTAGCGGTAGAGTATTGTAAGTTCACCCTTTGTAAAAATGGTTGAACATTTGTGAAAGAATTGAATTTTTTGACTTCTTTCTTGTATGTGTTTGGCTGGTTACTTTAAACTCTGCTGTTCAGCCAATCACATTTAACTGATACCCTTCGACTCTGCAGTCAGCTGTGAGAGTACATTTACACACCTTTATTTTCATTCTCTTATTCTTTAGTGTACTTTTAGATCGTCATATTCATGCTAGGCTAGCTAACGATGCATTTATGAAGAGTTTTACAGTCAGCTCTTGGTTAGGTGCTCTTCACAAATTACTTCAGAAGAGCTGGCCCATGAGTGAAATATTAGTTGAAAAGTATACTTTAAAAACCATTTTCCATAGCCTTGCTATTTGAAAGTTTGACTAATTGTAGTAGCATCAGGGAGCTGCAGTAACAAGTTGAGTGGTGTAAAACAATAGAAACATACTCTGGAAGTTCCAGATGCCATAAGTTGATATTAAGAAAAAAAAAGACAAAAGGACTATACTTCTCTGCAGGCTTAGGAGGAATAGCCAACCTGCTTTTTATCTTGCTTTTTGGTGGTTATAGATAGTCTTGCCATTCCTAGGTCTTTGTAACAAGCTGTACTACTTTACCCTGCCTGTTTTCATCTAGTGATCTTCTCCATCTTCTCTCCTTAAAACCATCAATCTTTGGATTTAGGGCCAATCCTAATTCAGCATCACCTTAAACAATTACATTTGCAAGGACCCTAGTTACAAATGAGACCACATTCTGACAGTCCCAGATTGTCCAGGATTTTAGTAGGACTCTATTCAATTCATTATGCACCTTTTTTTTTTCTTGACTAAAGCATGTAGTAACTCTTGAACTGAATGTGGATCTTTATGAGTTGAATCTCACTGACTAAAAGACTCATTACACTCTAATTTTCTTTCCTTTGTAAGTGGCTTAATATTTTTGCTTGGACTACATACAAAAGAACTTTATTTCTAAAAATCTAAGATTTAACTGATGTTTCAGAATCAGTACTCTGTGTAGATTCCAAGCTATTCAATATGCTTATCAATAGGGATTTTTAGGCCCTTAGCTATTTTTCTTAAATCATTTAGACAGATTTCTTGTATTAATTTATCCTTCTTTAGATACTCAGTGTTGACTTTTACTAATATCCTTCTCTGTCCCTTTCCCTGGAGTTCATTTTATCTACTTGGTTAAATTCCCTTTGGGTTTCCAGTTGTTTGCTAAACTTTTGAACAATTCTGTTTTCCGTGTATTTTGTGATTTACTGATAGGTCTGCAATGATTTTGTCCCTTTTTTGTTTGTTGTTTCTTTCCTATGTGACATGACTTCATTTCACATCTTTTTATTGTCTGCCCAACTTTTCTGAATCATTACTTTTATTTTTCTTACTGGTATTTCTTTCATCTGTTGCTTGCTTTTGTTTCCACTTAGGTTGTTGAATACTTTTCCTCTCTTTTATGAAAATTTTCAAGAAGCTTGAAAAGTTATAATCTGCATTGTTTGTATATATGTGTATCTTCATATACACATGTACACACAAATACACATATGCAGTTTCATATTTCTTTTTCAAAGTTTGGGCCAGATACTGTGGGACTGATGAGCAAATAATGGCTAGTTGGGAGTTTGATCATTCTCAGATTAGGAGCTTGCTTTTCTGTTAGTATAGGGAAGGCTTTATTATCAATTTTTGTTTTGTGTGTTTAATGTTTCAGGAAGTCTTTGTGGTTTTTTTTTTTTTCTTTTGGTCGGTTGTGGGATCTGAGCTTTGGAACTGGGCACTGTCCCTCAGCTCTTCAGCTCAAGGCTAGCACTCTACCACTTGAACCACAGCACCATTTCTGGCTTTTTTTCTGCTATGTGGTGCTGAGGAATCTAACCCAGAGCCTCATGCATGCAAGGCAGTTACTCTACCACCGAACCAACCACCTTCCCAACCCCAGGAAGTCTTTTCTTGAAGCCTTTCTTTAGCAATAATTTCATCACCAAAGATGTCTTTTATGGTCATCCCTCCCCTTCCCTGCAGTGTTCTCAGGATTATATTCTGGCTCTGTGTCTTCTCCAGGCCTTTTCTTCACAGTGCTTTGTTAAGTCAAATTGTAGGCCTGCTTTCAGTAGTTTCCATTTTAAATGGGCCTTTTCTTCTCAAAAGGAATCCTAGCCCTTATTTTCTGAATTCTACCACCACTGAAAGTCTGTAGCCTCTTAGCATCTCTGTGAAGCTCCTTCTGTAATTCCCACAGCATGGTCATATCCAGCTCTCTGCTGACTCCGCAGTCATTTTCTTGCTAGTTCATATATTTGTGTTTGTGACTTTCAGTGTTGTCCTACTTACTATATATGTGCAGACTATGGGTATTTATATCTGCTGTCTTTGTGGCTGTGTATGGTTTTTAGAAGGTGACAGGAAAAGAGCTAAGAGGCTGCTATCATCCTTAAGGAATTTAGAAACCAAGACTGTTAATATTTTTGATTTTTTTTTTTCCTGCAGCCAGGAGTAAGTTAATGATGCAGCTGCTTTTGTTGCTAGCCATGGTGGACTATATTTCACCCTACAGTGAGTGAATGCTAGGACAATGATCTTAATTCTGAGTAAGTTTGCTCTCTTCCATAGTTTAATACTCAGTGAGAAACATTTCCAAACCAAGAAAAACTTACCAAGCTATATCTGGGGTCTCCACCCTCACCCCTTTAAAATGCTGTTCTGGTTTGAAATCTAACTTGTTTTCTTTTTTATACTTCTTGGCAAAACAGACAGGTGAACCTAACTAGCATACTTCTTTAACTATTTTCTGTTTATAAAGCCACTTAGGAAAGCTAATCAATATGTAAATAAATGAAATCATGAATACATTAGAAGTGGAAATACTTACAGGAGAAAAATATGTCTTAAAATTTGAAATATCCAAGGAAGTTATGCTTACATTATAGGCGAGGCTTCCCTAGAATAAGACTTTGAGTTGGCATCAGCAAGTAGGATATTTAGTAGGAGTTGGTTGGGATCAAATTTTTATAAAGGAGAAAAAGAAACTTCATAGAGTAGGGAGAAGTTGGGTTGTGGTGCAGTCCCAGAAGAGGCTTAGCTTGTACCCCAGGGGAGCTCTGAAACACAGCCGTTCTCAAGTCAAATAATAGCCATTTTCTCTGACTATGCCTGAGTACACTTTCCCTCCTTTTTAAAGCTTTGTCTTAATATATGACTGACCTTTTGGGGGGTGGGTGGTACTGAAGGTTTGAGCTTAGGACCTTGTGCTTGCCACGCCAGGTATTCTCTACTTGAGCTATCTCCCCACCTGTTTTTGCTTAAGTTACTTGTTAGATAGGGCCTTCTGTTTTTGCCTAGACTAAGGTCCTTCTATTTATACTTTGATGTAGCTAGATGGAAGATGTCTACTCTATATTGAGATTATTGGTTGAGATGGAATCTTGTTGCCCAGACTGGCCTCAAACTTCAGTCCCCTTAATTAAAGCCTATGCTGTTTTGCTGTTAAAAATAAACTTTCAGCCAGGTGTTAGAAGTTCACTCCTGTATTCTTAGCTACTCATGAAGCTGCGATCTGAGGATCATGATTCAAACCCAGCCTGGGCAGGAGAGATGAAACTCCTATCTCCAACTAACCACCAGAAAAGCCAGAAGTAGAGCTGTGGTAGAGCACTAGTCTTGAGTACAAAAGCCAAGGGACACTGTCTAGGTCCTGAATTCAAGCCCCAGTACTAGCACAAACATAAATAAATGAATACATAAATAAACAACTTTTGTACTTAAAAAATATAAAAATTCTCCGGAAAAAAAATGTATAGAGTGACTTCTTTTCAGTCCCTCCAAAGAGCATAGTGTATAGAGTAATATGTATAATACGTAAGTGGATTGAGGATAATGGGTTGAAAGTTAAAATCTTCAGTGCTATTAATGAGTGACTATTTGCTTTTTGTTCCCATTTGCTTTTCAGCTTGGGCGATGGTAGATGGTGGTTCAAATGTGAAAGCACGTTCTTCCTACAATGAGAAGATCCCACGAATCATCGTATCCCGTTCCCATTCTGGGATGGTCAAACAAGTTGCTCTTCAGACATTCGGAAACCAGACTACAATCATCCCAGCTGGTGGTGCTGGTATGCTTTTTGTTCTGTGTGATTTCGGAGAAATTTTCTAGACTTCACAAATCTGTCAGGAGACTGACAGAAGGCAGAAGGAATGAGCAGTGTTGACGCTCAGTTTCCTACTTCCTCTAGGGTAGTTTTATTGGCATTGGCCTTGCTAGAGAGAAACACACCAGTTATTTCTCTTCCTCAATTACTGCAACGTAAATTCCCATCAGTGTTTAGCTGTTGCTTTTTTTACGCTCTAACCTCAGAAGAATTGTTCTGTTAATTGATGATGTCAGGAAAATGAGGGAAGATCAAGGTGCTTTCTATGGCAGGAGGATGCTCAGTGTTATCTGTCTGTTATTAGAAGAGCTATTCTGACTCACTTCTTATGGGGGGGAGGGGGTGGGTCCGGTCGTGGGGCCTGAACTCTAGGCCTGGGCGCTGTCCCTCAGCTCCTCCGCTCAAGGCTAGCGCTCTGCCACTTCAGCCACAGCACCACTTCCAGCTTTTT